GGACGTGAATTGTCGTGATCGTGATGGCTGGACACCGTTGCATGCTGCTGCGCATTGGGCTGAACATGAAGCTGCCGCTGTCCTGATCCAGAACGGTGCCTCATTCACCGAACTCACCAATAATGTTTGTAATTTGTCTTGTTTTTCGTATTTTGAATAACAAATTGCGGAAGAAGGCCGAATCGCAACCTTAAAAGAAGCAGACGGTCCAAAGAAATCAAAATGTGGAACGGCCGGAGTTAGAAAGTTAAAGCGAAGGGTGGGATAAGTTTGTTAAAATAATTTGCGACTCGGCCGTTGGTCGGGCCGAGCCGTAATTTCTGAAACAAGCGAGTGGTCCGAAGCATGAAAAATGTGGACCGGCCACAGTTCGAAAATTTTAACTTAGAGTGGGATTAGTTTAATAAATTATGATGGAGAAGATAGTAGGGCTGCTCATGTGGCACAAAACCGTATGACATGTTGAAAGATCATGTAAAGAGGAATATGTAGAAAGTGCTCTGACACTGTGGTTGTTCGGTTCTCTGCTTGGATGGTACTACATAAAGTGGATTAGGAAGTTCTCCGTGTGCTGGCCTCTGTGATACTTGAAATGAGTTTAGTAAACATCGTCCTTCTTGAGATATGTTGTTAATCCAGCCGTTTTTCTTTTTTTTTTTTTTCACTGAAAGTTAGATTTGTGAAGAGCCTCTTATCGATTTTTCACAATTGTTATTCACTGTTTTTGAATTTCTCGGTTACAAATTAGGCGATTAGTACGAAAGTAGCTCAAGAAAATCCATATTTTTGGCACCATTTTTGATCCAAAATTTCATTTGCGAATGTTTTTTTTTAACATCATGTTGCACACTGTGACAAATTATTTCGAGCAATATTACTGGACAAGTGGTGTTAATTTGATGAATGCGATTGACTGGCCACGCAAATCACCCGTCGATTCTTCAGTCCGTACTTCAGTTCCATGCGTAGCTGTGACTGATTTTGAAATCTTTGAGTTCTGTGGACTGGGAACATCCCTTAAAATTTCAGCCTTCCAAACTTCCCGGCTTCCGAGTTTGCGATTTTCCCGCGAGATTTTTTTTACCATTTCTCTATGCCCTGTAAAGCCACTGACATTTTTTTGCCAATTTTGACGTGTATTTAAATTTCAAATTGTGGATGTTAAAAAAAACTTTGCTAGAATGAATTTATGGATTTTTCTGCCAATAATCTGTATCCAGAAAGGTGGGCTAGGAATCAGTCGTTTAGGAGTTTCCGGAGATTTTGCATTTTTATAGTTAAAGCTATATTTAAAGGAATTAAAAGGCTGGTACCATAAGCGTATATTCGTATTACTTACTTGAATACTTGAGCAGTTGTATGTCATCGACGTTGGTTGTTGCGCCATCGATGCAGCACTGGCAACTTCTCCATTCTTTAACTCGTTGTTGCGCTCCCCGAGTCCACGTGATACTGTACAGGCATACCATGAGGTCTCTCCACCTCACCGGTAGCCTCCCCAGTGTTCGCTTGATCGTGCGCGGGTGCCATTCCATTATCCGTTTTGTCACGTTTTAACTTCCTTTCTTTCCTTGCTCTCTCACTTTATTTGCTCCTTCACTTATCTCTGTTTCTTTCTCTAATTCGTCTTGCAAATTAGTTACATGACTATTCAAAACATGGCGGGTAGCAGGCTGTACTGATGATTCCCACTCCTACTCGCACGCACATTTCGGTCTGTATGTATACAGCTAAGGGATGAAACACAGAGACTGCGTCATAAAATGTCTTCATATACATCACATTCAAGTGAAATCCTTCTATCCCTCTATTTTCATAGTAATTTTATCAAAACACGATTCGTAAACTGAAATTGCTTGTAGGGTGAGACAGTGCTGAATGTGGCCGATAAGGAGATCATCGAATACCTGGAAGGGATGCAAGAAAAGGAACGATTGCGTCTGGCATCTAGTAATTCGGTGAATGTATTGGTGCACTCAAACACGCCATTAAAAAGGTATACATTGATGCCAGTTTTTCTTTTGAGTTTTTTAAATTATTTTAGAATCGAAAGATTTTTTTTAACAAGGGATGAAATAAGAATTATGAGTTAGAAGATTAGAAAATTTGTAAAATTATTAATAAGAATTTGAAAAATTATTTAAAAGCTACATTAATTTTGTGCACGAGCATAGCAGCATTACTTTTGCTCTGACCTCTGGTCAGCTTGAATTAACTGATGGTCATTCTAGTATTGCACATTTGCCTGGAAATTTTCCCCTCTCTGCTACGATCGAAGCTGCTTTACCTAGGAATTAGTGCGTTTGGTAGTTCTACCTTTCGTTTTGCTGCCTTTTTTCCGCTTTTTTACATGGGAAATCAACTTGGTTGACTTGTTATTCTCCCCTCCTATTATATCTGTCGTCATTTCTTCTTAACACTTTGATCACCACGTGATTTACATGTCCCAGATCACCACGTAATTTACATGATGAACTGGAGCTGTGCTAGATGATTCTCGCCCCTAACTGCACCTTATACTGTCTATGTTTACAGCTAAGCGATGAAGCACAGGCAGACTTTTCCCACATATTCCTTTCCACATGACCTTTCAAAAATGTCATACGGTTTTGTGCCACATGAATTGCTCTACTAGCTTTTCCATTACATCATAACTTCACCCTAGTAAACCTTTCGGACTCTGGCTGTTCCACATTTTGTTTGCTTTGGAATATCCACTTGTTTTTAAGATTGCGATTCGGCTTTCTAACGACCTCGGATTATTATTCCTAAATCAAGTAATCCAAAAAAAAACCGCGAATTTTCATTTTATGCTATGAGAAAAATGGCTGTTGTTTAGAGCGGGTTCCACAACCTCTGTGCTAAGGATGTCAACGGAAGAAAAGACGAAAAAAACGAAATTGGACGAGCAAGACGAGAACAAAGACCTCCGGGAGGGGCGTTATTCATTCATAATTGAGGATAAATCGCCCTCTCCATCCGTGGAGGTACGACTGCCTTATCCTGCGAAGCAACAGCAATCTCGCGAACCTTCTGAATCTCTTTCGGAAGAAGAAAGGTTCTTAATTTTTGAAAAAAAATTTACGTTCATTTAGAAGAAAAGTTCTAAAAAAAGGATTTACATTAAAAAAATTTACGTTTTTTGCTTGCAAGAATTAGTTTTTTTTTTTTGAAGTTTTTTATCTCAGCCAACGAGATTTGAAAAAAAAAGGCGAATGGCGAAGATTAGTGCAACCAGCAGCTGTTTTCGAGTTTGGATAGTGTGCATATAACAGTATTGGTAAAATCGCTCCAGATTTAGTGCCAAACTTTCAATGTTTGCAAAGTGCGACCACACGTCGGTCGCAACCGTCATGGGCTTTTTTTGACATTGAAGTAAAGGGCGAATAGCGAAGATTAGCACAACGAGCAGCTTTCTTTGAGTTTGGATAGTATGCATATAACAGTATTGGTAAAATCGCTCCAGATTTAGTGCCAAGCTTTCGATGTTTGTAAAGTGCGACCACACGTCGGTCGCAACTGTGCTGCGATTTTTTTGACCGTCCTCCAACTAACAGATGCAATAGGTGCACGTTGTCCAATCCATGTGGTAATTTCTCTCTAATCTGTTTGTACGGATGTTTGCTTGTACGCTTTATCACGTTTATTTTTAAAACATATATCATGATTAATATCATGATTATCATGATTGATATCATGATTTTCATGAGCAGTATTGACATTTCTATTATTCTCTTACAAAAATGATGATTATTTTGTTAGTATCAAGCACCTGTTATTTTTTACTATAAAAATACAAAAATTTTGTCATTTTCAGAGCTTCAAAATCGAGTTCCGAAGTGAGCAGTGAAGAGAAAAGTCCCTCAGCCAGTGAGTCAAAAAGCGCCGCCGATCTCGAAAAATCATCGCCGTCCGCATCCGAATCGACCATTTCTGAATCGGAAAGTAAAGAAGGCTCTGTAGAAGAGAATACGAGGACAGCACCGGCTACATCAGCCGCTCCATTGCCTGCTGCTGCTAAAACGAATGATCTGAAGCCGGTTACGGAATTTCTGAGGAGCGCAACCTCGTCTTCATCCACTGTCAATGTTAGTTTTCTAGGCATAATTATGAATTAAAGGTTAAAAAAGAAAATATCAGGAGAAAGAAACAAAGAAGGAAAGGAAGAGGATATTAAAATAAGTAAGGGGTATAAACAAGTATTTTTTATAGGTAAGAAATGTTTCGGTCCATTAAGTCGTATACATTTCTTACCGTTACCACATCACTGTGTGCATATTAGTGGAAAGGTATGGATTTTACGGCCCCTTTTTGCGGCCCTGAACTACTCTTAATTTCTATATTTTGCTCGTATTGCACTTCCCTCCTCGTCCATTCAGTTCATGCCATAGCATTTTCTATTATTATCTTAAAAATCACGCTGCATTTTGAAATTACTGTACGTGACAAAAAATTTTACGATTTAAAGATCTTTTTTCTTTCTTCTGTTTCTTCATTTCCTCATTTCTTTTACTTTTCCATTAAATAAGATGAATAAAATAATAAAATAAAATAAAATGTTGAAAAGAATTTTTTTAATGGTAAGAAATGTTTCGGCCCATTAAGTCATATACATTTCCTACCATCACCACAATTGGACCTCGTCCGTACGACGATTGTGGCAATTAGTATGAATTTTATTAAAATTTAAATTGTTTTGTTAGAATGGGTAGATAAAGTAATAATGAGTTAAGTGGGTAATAATGAAAAAAACACTGCGACCATCATACTGACGAAATCCTGTCACGGTGTTGAGTTAAGACGTATATGACTTAGTATTGGACCGAAACGTGTCTTGTCTCTTTCTTGCCTTCTTTTCTCACACTGTTCTTACTTTCTGTATTCAGTTGCGCCTTCGTCACTGATTAGACGTCCAAGGTCAACTTGAATGCTACAATCGGCATAGCATTTTCCAGTTTTGGTGTTATAGCAGATAGTATTAATCTTAAGCTGAACGGCAGTAGCTTAATTTTGTTAATGTGATAATAGTTTCCTTTATGATTAGTTCATTCGTTTCGATGGTTAATTGGTACTGGCAGATGTCGGAATAAGAGATAAGGGATTGGTCTAAGTGTCATATGCATGAGGACATGTTAGGGTGCAATCTGTATTTCATCCCTTAGCTGTAAACACAGACCGAACTTTGCATGCGGGTTAATGTCTACGGGAAGGAAACATCAGCAATCTTACGCTGATTGTTACTTTTGCTATGTGCCAAAGTCTGAGCCATTTTCTTTTACTGTCATCTTTCGTGGAGAATGTAATTTGGAACAAATTTTTTCCCATTCGGATACTGAACCAGGTAATTAGGATAGGAGGGCAGTTCTGGATTTGTTGTGAACTGACAGTAGTGTAGATCGTAAAGACGCATCTGCTATTCTTTGTACCAAGAATACCAAGACCATTTTGACAGTGTGTGTATTCGATTTTGATGATTTTGCAAAGATATTCCTTCACGCCGATCGGAGGTGTGAGCAGTGCACAGCTTTGTATCAGAACAGAAATTTTTACATTTAAATTTCCATTTTTTGATATTTTGGATATTTTATATATTAAAAAGAAAAAAAAAAACACCAAGACTGCTTGGACTATCAGTGCGGATATCTTTTGTTAGTGATGTTACTGGGATGCTCCTATACACCGAACATAGCTATGCCAGGCCTTTCGATCCCGGGCTGCCAACTTCATATTTATTTGATAGTCTGGGTAAACTATCATCTCTCGCTCACCACTGCTTGCCAATAAGTTAGAAAGCTGGAATTTTAAGGGAATGTTTTCTGGCAGTCGTGGTGGCCAGTTTCAGTTCTTTTAGCTAGAAGCATCTGCCGAAAAAACTAGTGTCGTTAACGATAAAAACTTGCAGGGATCGGTGCAAAAAACGCATCTTCGTACGCCGCCCAATCAATTACGTTGTGTGTGAACCGGCACCAAACTACATAGGGACATTTCTTGTTTCATTTTGCAATGGCTCTGTGTTCCAGAATCATTGTGTGAAATGGCTAATCCCCTCCACCAGTCTTATGCTGCACATTTTCTTTTATGCCCAGATGTTTTGTTCATATTCATATTTTTGTAAGGAGCAGTTGCTAACACGACAACCAGAAAAGCTAGAAAGATGA